AAAACTCTTTAATACAGTTAGAAAAAAAACAAAACATTAGGTTTCATGTGAATTCCTTTAAATGTCTTATGTCATGTTAACTGGCTGAAAACATTGTACATGAAGTCATCAAATATGTGCAAAATTGCCACCTAGGAAATTTTATTCTATAAACACACTAACCGTTGATGAAGAAACAAAAAATTTTCACTCTGTTATAAGTATAATAAGTACTCGATTTAATAAATGAGGGAGGTAAATTGGCAACATAGAACTTCTATTAGTGCATTTGAATTTGTGGCCTTACTCAAAGATTCTAATCCTTCTCTATCTCAAAGAACACTTCGTGACATCAATGTAGAGGAACCTGGAGTTTATAATTAACAGAGCTAAATGGCCACATATCAGAACTATTACAAAATCAGCCTGGTTTTTTATTTTTACATTGATCATCATAAATAAACTAAAATAGTGCAACAAAATTCATCTATGCAGTAAAATCAACCATATGAAACAAGCCATAAAGGTGTCGAAGGAATGAGATGTTCAAACTTCTCTAACAATTTTGGCTTGGAAGACCTTAAATATGTCAAGCAAATAATGAGCATTTACAGCTGCATATGTTTTCTGCTCTTCAGTGAAGGGGAGCTGTGACCAATCGCTACATTGAAAATCCTATGCAAAATCATCAAATTCCAAAAAGAATATATGAATACAGAGATTATAACTTAACACTTGTAAAAAGTGTGAAACAAAAAATTCCCAAAAAGGAACCCAATTTTTTAAAGTTAAATGGCCAAAACTTCCGTGCAAAATGCTACCAAGTTCTTTGTTTGCTTTAGTGATTTTCTTCCAAGTTACTTATTTTGTTTAGATAGTTATATATGGTCGTAATATCTATAAATGGTACAACCGAATCAAGAACAATTGACAAAGTATATTATTATGAATGAAGCCCCAATCTCTACTTACAGGAGCTATAAATAAATATAGAAGAAAAGCACACCAACAATTTATAGTGGTACAGCCACAATGACGTAGCACTTCACTATGTAGTCCACGGTCGAGTGAATAAATGACAGTTTGATAGGATTCCATATGTTCCAATATTTTTCAACTAAATACGAAGAATTAACCATAGAACCTGTATTGCAAAACAATAATAATAATAATAATAATAATAATAATAATAATAATAATAATAATAATAATAATAATAAAGAAAACAAGAAGGTCGAGAAAGCCTACTTAACTAACTATAACACAGCAAAAGACACTGGAACTCATTAAATTTCTTCGTGATCACAATGAAATTGAAACTGTAAAGGCAAATTATGGTGTGCAATTTTTCGTCTTCAAATGCTGAAATCACAAGTTTTAATGAATTACTGCTAGCAAATCTAATTTAAACCAATGCTCAAAACACAAAATGAATTTATTCTGTTGAATATGAGGTAAAGAAATGTATGAAGCTACCAAATTAAACACCTAGAAATTGTCATGGAAAAAACCTTACAACTTTACAGCTTTAGATAAGAAAAAAAAATTTTAATAATTGAATGAATATTAAAAAATTACTCTATAAAAACCATGATTTCAGTCTCGAAAGCAGAAAGTAAAGGATAAATAAACCAATTCCTGTATAAAATTTATATAATTTCCATCTGATCCAAACAATTATAATACTAAAACACCTTCAAAAATAATAAATAAACTGTTGCTACTATTGGAGTACCATTTTTTTATCGATAGATTGAAAAGAGATTCTTCCCTTTAATCTACTCAAAAGACTGTAAATTATCTCCTATATAATGCAAATAAAACTTTAGAATTGAAGCAGATAGAAGGTGCTTTTGTTGTTGATTAATAAAATTATCGAGAATGAGATTATACCTTTGGAAAATGCAAGGAAGACCTGTAACCGAAAGAAGCAAGAAGGAAATAGTCATTGAATAGAATGTCCGAATATCCAAAAATTAAAAAATTCATCAACATGAAGAGAAAATCAATGACATAGGATCAAATATTAGGACAAAAGAATAGATTTCCAATAAATATAACTATAATAAGTTGGTAATAATTGAAATGTCAAAGAACATTTAATTATTTGTATTGGCCCAGTATGATGGACAACCTCAGGTTGGCACTTTCTGATTTCCCCTTAGAGTAACTATATTGAATTCCTATTTATTTATCATTGTACATTGCTTACCTTTGAGTCAAAGAATGTATTGAAAGCAGCAATTACTGTGTATTAAGTTAAGAACAACATAAAGCAAGGAAACCTGCACTTGGGTTTGTTTTGTAAATAAGACAAACAGAGAACAACACACCTGTCTTATGGTTTACAAAAACTTTGAGTCTTCGAGTAATACTATTCAACACCACTATTGTCAAGTACTGGTGGATCTAGGTGGTGGCCAACTAGAACGGCGTCCCAACTTGATATGTTGGAAGATTTATTTATTTATTTTTTATTAACAATAGATTAAATTTTTACTTTATATTTCTAGTTATTGATCCTATTTTCAAACAGCCTTGCAGCTTAGTTGGTGAGAACGGCATAAATAGTATTTGAAGTATCAAGTTCAAATTCCTTGTCAAGGGATTTGTTATGTATTATTTTTATTCTATAAATTTTTACCAAAATTCAATAGGAAGAAGGGACAATGAGGATTCAAACCCATGATCTCAAGCAAGGGTTATGGTGAACTTAACCATTATGGTACCTCTTGAATTATATTACTAAATTTAACAAAATGATATTTTTTAGGTTTTGATTGTTTTAATGCAAATAACTTTAAATATTCGAATTCACACTCTTCCTTTGAATTATAGAAAATTTGGCAACAATGTTATTTGATGAGTTCTATTTATTCTTATAACAGAATTATATATATTCATTTTGAACAAAATAATTGTTATATTTATACTTTAGACCCTGTTCGATTCCCTCTTTTTTTAAAACTACATTTTTCTTTCTTATTTTCATCCATACATTCTTTATTTTTAGTCACACATTCAGACATTCTCCATCAAATCACCATTCCAAAATGCATTTTTTGCAAAAAAAAAAAAAGAAAAAAAAAGAAAAAAGGATACCAAAAAGGACTTTTAATATTTTATTGTGGCCAACGGTAGATGGTCAACGGTCGCCCGTGCTGACTCAAACTCCTGGATTCGCCACTAGCTTGAATGAGGGAAATCAGTATCCAGTTCTTCCTTGAACCGGGTGAGGAAAGAGACGCAACTATTTGGAGAAAAGGTCGGAGATAATGCAGATTGCCAAAACTTCAAAGATGAAGAGGAAACAGAATTAGTCGCTTTGGTAAAATACCTAGTGGAATAAATGAAGAGATTTTCATGGGTAAAATGTAGGAATATAGTGTGGTAATGAGAACAGAAGCTAGGTATGGTGGTACAGTAGTGGTTGTATGGATGGTTGTGTGAGAAACGAAGTAAAGGCGGAATGGAGTAAACAGGCGGGATGGCGATACAGTCCCAATTTTTTTTTTTTAAATATTACATCAGCAGTATCACAACTTTCCTCTTTTTAATATTGTAGGGATTATGACATATTGAATCATATCAAAAAGGAGACTAAGATATCTTAAACAAATCACAAATTAAATCATGATTTGCTATTCTCCCAAGTCCCTATCATAAATTAGACATCGTCCTCAATGTCTTAAATTCTAAATTTGCATATAACGGGGTGGGGAAGAAAAGGAAGAAAATACTCCCCTGATATGGCGTGAAATTAATTGGCTAGCTTTTCCTATTACTCCCGTTATCTCCTTGGTCATTGTTGATTTAAACGATTTGCAACGCCATGTCCTGCACAATATGAATAGGTAAACACATTTAAGATCAAATATCTTAAACAAGTATTACTTAGCTCCAACATCTAATAAACTAAATCTCGAGGACCTAAGGGAAAATGGCAATTGGATGATGAGTCACTAATTAAAATTGATAACTAATCTAAATTTTCATATGACTAAAAAGTATAATAAATAAAAGGGAAGAAAGATTGGATTACCTCCCAACAAGCACTTTGTTTAAAGTATTATGTGAATGGCACCTAGAAAGGACACCAAACAAGAGAGATCAGGGTGGGAAGACAAAATCAACAAAAAAATAAAAATAAAAATCGAATCTATTATAAACTATTAAACTAAAATTAAATCCATTATTCCCCAAAAATTGCGCCAAAACCTTCTTCGTAGAAAAATTTCCAAGCGTACGGGATCGTTGTACAAATAATAAGATTTTTGAGTTAAGAGTATTATTCCCACCAGGAATAAGGTCTAATATCTAGTTCAATAGCTTTTATTAAATTCAAAATAATATAAAATCAAAAGAGTAATTTTTATGTATTCTATTCTAATCCTAAACTAATAAAGCAAATAAAATATTTAACTAATATGTGAATTTTCGTATTGGAATCATGAGTCCCTCTATTCCCATTTAATCCTACTTTTAATTCATAATTTATTAAATTCATTTATTCAAGACGATCAATAATTCAGTTTTATTCAATATTCTTTCTCAAGATATATTAAACCTATTTTTAACACGACCCGATCTTATTCTTAGTCCGAATTCATATGGAAAACATGCATTGATACACAAGATTTATCACACATAATTGCATACGCCATAGATATTATTCCTAATACTTATTGTCCATGTGTTAATTTTACAATGTTCTAAACTTATTATGAGTATTTCTATACTACAACAAGTAACTTACTATCTAATTGGTGATCAAGTAATCAAATAGTTCAATGGGAATACAAAACCAATAAAGAAAAATCAAGAAATACTAAACTAATTGTCTTGAATTAAAATAAACAAACAATAGGGTTCATTATTCTGCTAATACAAAGCATGGGCGGATCTGGGCACGGGCTGACCCGAGCTACAGCCCGTGCTTGCCCTAGCCCAGATCCAGTAAGTTATATGATTTTTATATTTTTTTAAATTCAGCCCATGTTCATTCAGCAATGTAGCCCGTGTCCAAATTTGTACTGCTCTAGGTGGAAGAGAGTTTTATGATGCAGAAGAAACAATTAAATTATTGGCCCAATTCCAAATCCCCAAACCTAATATCCGTTTTGATCTCTCTCTAGCCTCTACAGACCTATAAGTAAACCATTTTTTCCAATTTCAAACCTCCAATTCCATCTCCATTCTCTGAAATTTGAATCGTCTTCTCCAGCTAGCTATTTATTTTTTATTGTGGTTTTATGTATACCGTATCAAGTGTATAATTATTCTCCAACTGTTGATTTGTAAGTTTTTGATTTAATCAAGTTCTTCTTTATGATGTGGGTTTTGAGGATTTTGGGGACTGTATGAAAATACAACACCAACTTGGGAAGAAATTTCCAGATTATTTGAGGATTTCATATCATTTTGACTTTCTTATTTCTGGATTTCTCCTCTACCACCAACTTGAATAGAAGGATCTAGAATACTTTGCTTCACTGACCATGGAAATGTCTAGAAATTTGAAGAATTCATTTCCACTGCCATTTCACGCAAGTGGGAGAGCAGGAAGAAAAGTAAGAGAGAGACAGAGAGAGAGAGAGAGAGAGTGTGTGTGTGTGTGTGTGGCACTGCATATATATTGGTGTATATAGCGTGTCTGTGTGTGTAAGGTGAGAAAGAATTGAGAGAAAGTGAGAGATATAGATACAGCCGTGTATGTGAGTTTTTGGAGAAAGAAATTGTCATTTGAGTGAATAAAATATTAGATAGTGGTCCTTGTTGAGTGACCAAAATTGTAAAATTACATTTCATAAATAAACTTCTATTTTGGTGTTTAAATTCGATAGTGTAATCAGATATTAATATAATTTGCGTCTTAAAATCGTGGGACAAGGTTTTAGTCAGTTGGATTGATTGACTTTCTAATTTCTATACATGCTGTAGTTGTTTATGTTTTTTCATGGATATGGAGAAAAATTGGCTGAGTTACACTCACTAAACATCATAGAAATTATATTATTTTTTATAATTTTTTTCTAAAAATGTTCGTAGTTACTAATTTTCAGTATAATTTTCTACATGCATCTCAGTTTTTACTCTCCATTTTTTTCGTCTACATTTTTTTTTTAATTGTAGCATGATTTTACGATAATAGCGTTTGCGCTACTTAGCTAAACCTTCATTTCGAATTTCAAATTTGAAGGTGCAAACGTGAAGCGGTGTAGGAAAAGCTTGAAATTTGAGCATATTCTCCTAGTAAGTAAATATCGTCTTTCCTCATTTCATTGTTTGTGGCCTTGTTGGCAATATTGAAATTGAACAATGTTGTCTTATTGGCTTTATGAGTTGTTTTTGTTGCTTGTTGGTTTAATGAATTGTTTTTGTTGCGACGTTACCTTAATGAATTATTTTTTCTCCCTTGTTATCTTAAATTTTAGCCCGTGCGTGTGAAATTCCTGGATCTGCCCCTGATACAAAGTACTTTAGCATAACATATTAATGTAAGAAATACAAGGAAAATAAAAGAAAGTGATCACTTGAATAATTAAACTATGAAGAGAATCTAGAATTCTTCAATTAAAGCCTTGAAATCCATATCCAAATGATTGAATTCTATGTTCTTTGATATATATTCTCTTTGTTTTCTCTCAAAGGTTAGCTCTCTATATGATCCCCTTAGGTCTGGACATGTTCTCCTATTTATATGATGCCAAGAAGGTTGTTTACCAAAATAAAATAAAGAAACCTAAATTTTTTCGCCGTTTACCGCCGAGGCATGTGCCTAGTGTAATTTAGGGTACATGCATGGGAGCCTTGGGTGCCTTAGTCACCTCATTGGTCAGGGGCGAGCGCCTCTCCTGCAAGGTAGGGCGTGCATCTTGTCTAATTTTTGACAAGCAAACAATCTTCAATATGCTTATCATAACTTTCTCTCCCGATATTTGATTGAAGTGATTGAATGTGCATTGAAAATCTTACTCATAGGGCTATAATTCTTCTAGAATTATCATTTTTTCAATTCGAACGTTCGCTATGCCAATATTGGGTCTCAATATGAAGTTGAAAATTAGAAGCATAACTTTTTCGTATGGAAGTTGATGTATGATAATATTTTGACTATAATTAATCCTTTTGACTTCGTTCCTCATCCAATTGACCACGAGCACTTTAAATCTTCATCAGGAGGTCCAAAACAATTTTTGAGTATTCGCATTTTAGTCCTCGAACTTTGGATTTGCTTAGTTTTAGACCTTTTTCATTCTTTCTTCCAATTATTCTTCGAAAGATGAATTTTTCCTAATAAAAGCAATAAATAACAAATTAGGTACTAATCCATCCAAAGAATAAGAAAATATCACCATTTAGGATTCTAAATAAGTGTAGAAATTACACTTATCATGTGGATGTTCTATCAAGATTTTCATTGCAAAACAAGAGTGGCGGGTGATCCTTAAACTTGACTAATAAGTAGCTTTGATTTTTCAAAATAAATTAGCGTTAAATGTACTTCTTGACAATGGGAGGTAAGTACACTCACCCTTCCTTTAGAAGAGCATTTACGGGACACCAGTTGTTGGAGAAGGGGTTATGGTGGCATGTCGGTAATGGAAAACATGTGCAAGTTTATTAGGAATTCAAGTTGATGTCAACACCATATGGGGATGTCACTCTTGTTCGAGTCTGGATTGCTGCTCCAAGCATGTAGTATACTGAGCTGATTAATGATTTATTCTTCCCAGTGGACCGGTAATTTTATCCGTCCCACTTATCATTACAAATAAAGAAGATCAACTAATTTTACATTTTGATAGTAGGAAGCTATTCAGTATGTAGTTAGCGTCTAGTCAGGTGATGCTGAAGCATTTGCTTTGCGAGAAGGTTTGATGTTGGCAGAAGGTGTGGTTAATTGTGGTTCTTATTGCTTTATACCTCGAGGGGAAATGTAGCTCACGAACTAGAATGTTTTGTTATTTTTGGTTCATTCACTACTTGGATTTTTTGTATTTCAATTTTCAAAATAAAGTGGCTCAAACACACATTTACCCCTGTTTGAGACTCATTCTTTTGAAAAAAATACATCTTTAAACAGTATTTTGAGATCATTTCAACAACGTATTCTTCAATAAAATAATATTACATGTAAATCCAATTATTTTTTCTTATTTTTAACCACACATTTCCTATCAATACACTATTTAAAAATACATTCTTAGAAAAAGAATGAGGTTCAAACAAGAGCTTAATTACGTATGCAGTTGCACCAAAAAAATATTTAATGAATTTTCAGTTAGCTTTACTAATTCTTTTTAAATATTAAATTATGCCGGCTTTTTAATTATATATCAACCTTTTTTTTTTTAAGTCCATTTTATAATTTTTTAAATTTAATAGCAATAGTTATAATTGTTTTTCTTTTTTAACTAAAATGATCTCATCTAATAAATAATAAAAAGAAAGTAATTTAATTTAAATATTAAAAAATAGTAAGGGTAAAATGAAAAAAATTATTATTTACCTTTTGCTGAGGAAAGAATATGTTATCAAGAGAAATTTTTTTAGGAGATTTATGAAATTTTTGAAAATAGAGAGGATGTGTACGTAATTGTCATAAACGTGAGGAAAAGTTTATGTAACTTGTTCTACCTTTTATAAATATGAAAGTTTCCTTCCTATGCTTTGAGATACTAAACTGTTTATTGTAGAATGACATTTTTAAATAGCATAATCAAGAGAAGGACAAGGTTTTTCGCAAAATGAAATTCGTTTTCTTTTTTAATATATAAGGATGAATAATCATATAGAATAGAAGATTGAGATATCTTCCTTGAACAAATCATGATAAGTAGCCAGCCTGTGTGTTTATTATTTTTTCTATTATATTTAGGTTTTGTTTGGTTCCCACTTTTTTAAAATTCAGTTTTTCTTATTTTTTTAAAAAAAATAATTTTCAATCACATATTTAACATAATTTACTATTTTATCAATTTATCAACCTTAATATATGCACATCTTTAGTTTTATTCAAAGGTTGTCACGTAATTCTTCATTTTTATAATCCAAAAAGTCAAAGAAAGCATGTTTTATTTTCTTGTGGTAATCCAGTTCTTAAACAGGTAGAGACCAGTAATCCAAACTAGACATAATCATGGAGAAATCTCAATACTTTGCTGCTGCAATTCTTTTGATAGTCACTCGAATGGTGTGTTTGGCCGTGTCGGAAACGAATGTCACTACAGATCAAGCTTCTCTTTTGACATTGAAAGCACAAATCTGTTTAGACTCTTCAGGAATTCTGTCGAAGAACTGGTCATCTTCTGCCTTGGTTTGTGACTGGATTGGAGCCACTTGTAGTTCTCGCGACCAAAGAGTGGCTGCATTGGATATTTCTGGTATGAATCTTACTGGAAACGTACGGTCTGATTTGTGAAATCTCTCTTTCTTGTTTCTCTCAATGTAAGTCACAATAATTTTTATAATACTCTGCCTGAAAGCTTAGCTCAATTGCGTCAACTAAGAATAGTTTATATCAGTTTCAACAATTTCAGTGGACAAATTCCATCGTGGTTTGGTTTCATGCCTGAACTGAAAGTTGTGAATGTTAGAAATAACAATTTTACTGGCTTCATCCCACCCTCACTATTTAACATATCTAGTCTCCAGGATTTGGATTTGTCTTTCAATTCCCTACCAAGAAGAGTCCCAGAAGACATAGGAAATCTTTCATATTTGAAAACGCTGAAATTACAATACAACAGGCTTATTGGTGTAATACCGTTGACAATTTTCAATATCTCCACAATGGAAAGTCTTGCTTTGATAGGGAATAGTTTGTTCGGTAATTTCCCTGTTGGCATATGTCATGGACTTCCAAGAGTCACAGGGCTTTATCTATCTTCAAGTGAATTGGATGGCGATATTCCTTTGTATCTATCAGAATGTTCACAACTTCAGCTCCTTTCCCTGTCACACAACAAATTTAGCGGATCCATTCCAAGAGAAATTGGGTGCATAAGGATGCTTCAGACTTTATATCTTGTTTCAAATGATTTGTTAGTTATTTGAATCATCATTGATGTTGTGTTAGTACTTCAAATTCTTATTTAAAATGATTTTCGATCACCGATGGAATGATGTTTTTATCCAAATCAACATGTTGAAAATATTGACAGGTAAAATTCCACAAAAGTTGGGTAACTTAGGGAACCTCGTCGAGTTAGGCATGGGAGATAATTTCCTTAGAGGCTCTACACCAATAAGTATCTTTAACATTTCATCGTTGCAATATATTAACATTGCTCAGGGCAACCTATCTGGTACACTCCCAGCAAATATTTGCTCTCCTCATAACCAACTTGAAGAGGTTTATTTGCATCTGGACGAATTAATTGGCCCTGTTCCCACATGAATAAATGAATGCTCTGCACTTTAGATTTTGTCGTTATCCTACATTAATTTTAGTGGATTGATCCACTAGGGCTTGGGAATTTAACCATGCTTCGGAAGCTATATGTTGGATATAATGAGTTGACCGGTAGGACTTTCTATAACTTAACTTTTGAGTTTGTCCTTTGTATTCTTATACAGAAAATTAAAGACAGTTGCTGTTTTAAACTTTGAGCATTTCATAATTCTGTAGGTGTAATTCCACAAGAGATCGAAAATCTTTACAACTTGGAGTATCTTTATTTTGGTGTCAATAGCTTAAGCGGTTCCATTCAACCAAGAATTTTCAATATCTCAACATTACTAATGATTTCAGTTTCAGAAAATCAGCTTTCGGGCAATCTGGATAGGTTGATTTTGGGATATCAGCTTCCTAATCTTGAAGAACTCTATTTGAACCATAAAAATTTCTATGGAAGAATACTAAATTCTATTGCAAATTCTTCTGAGCTCACTATACTAAACCTTTCTTTCAACAATTTTACCAGACCAATTCCCAACTTCTTATGAGATTTGAGATTCCTTAAAGCGGTATAATTGAGTGACAACAATTTTATTAGTGAATCTCCAGAATTGAGCTTCACCACTTCATTCAAGAACTACAGATTTTTTATAAATTTGGGTTTCGGCAATAATCCCTAGAATGACATTCTTCCAGTTTTAGTTGAAAATCTTTCCACTTTTCTTCTATATCTTTATGCTGATAATTGTGATCTCCGAGGTAGCATTCCACATGAAATTGGAAATCTTAGCAGTTTGATAGTGTTAAGTCTGTATGGCAATCAGTTGACATGATCAATACCAGGAAGCGTGGTGGATTTGCAGAAGCTTCAAGGATTGACTCATTTCCGCAACAAAATATGATCCTGGATACTCTTTGTGAACTTCACAATTTAAAGGGGTTGTTGTTGTCTCATAATCTAATGATAGGTGCCATTCCAGATTGCGTGGGGAATATTACTACACTAAGATCTCTATATATAGATTCCAATAGATTGACCTCCATCATACCTCTGAGCCTGTGGCTCTAGAAGGATCTTCTGGAGTTGAATCTATCTTCAAATTTTTTGAGTGGTCATCTCCCTCGAGAAATAGGGAATCTGAAGGTTGCTCTTCTTATTGATCTATCGGCGAAAAAGTTCTCAGGTAGCATTCCAACCACAATTGGAGATTTACAAGGCTTGATCAATCTTTCCTTAGCACACAACACACAGCAAGGGTTTATTCCTGAGTCAATAGATAAGCTGCTGAACTTGGAACGACTTGTTCTAAATCACAACAATCTTTCTAGTAAAATTCCCAATTCCTTGGAGACACTAAATTATCTCCCATACTTTGATGTTTCATTCAATGATTTAAGTGGTGAAGTTCCCTCTAGTGGTCCTTTCAAAAACTTTCCAAGTTGATTCTAATTGTCTAATAAAGGACTATGTGGTGATCCTGTATATGGTCTCCCACCATTTCATACTATTGGAAATGGTAGACATAAGGGACGAAAAGTGATGCTTGGAGTTGTATTTGCTTTGTCGGGTAATATAGCACTAATTATAGTTGCTATAGCCTTGGCATGTGCAGTTATAACTTACAGAAGGAAAAATTTGGGGAAAAGTATAACAGAATTTGCGACTGGCACAACACTACCAAGGGTCTCATATTATGAGCTTATGTGAGCTATTGAAAGGTATAGTGAAAGCCATTTACTTGGATCTGGGAGTTTTGGCTGGGTCTATAGAGGAACTCTTAATAATGGAAGGGATGTGGTAGTGAAGGTGTCCGATTTGCAATACCAAAATGCATTCAAGAGTTTTGATGTAGAATGTGATGTCTTTCGTAATCTATGGCATTGAAATTTGTGCAAAGTCATCAGTACTTGCTCCAATCAAGATTTCAAGACCTTGGTACTTGAGTACATATGTAATGGAAGCCTTGAAAAGTGGTTATATTCAGAAAGCTATTTCTTGGATAGCTTGCAGAGAATAAACATATTGATAGACACAGCATGTGCATTGGAATATCTGCATTTTGGTCACTCAACATAGATTGTTCATTGTGATTTAAAGCCAAGTAATGTATTGCCGGATAAAGATATGGTTGCCCCCTTGTCTAATTTCAGGATTGCAAAGTTATTGGGCGAAGGAGAAAGTAGTGCACATACTACAACCTTGGAAACATTGGGTTACATTGCACAAAGTAAAGCTTCTATCTTTTCTCTTGAATATTTAGGTACATTTGGTACACACTAAAGAAAAATTAGATAAGAGATAAATTTAGTCTGGCATAATATTTTTTTTTTTTAGCTAAATAAGTCCTTGTAATAAGATAACTAGTGTGGGGACACGGGTTGAAGGCGGATTTGACTCAACTAAAAACATAGTAGATGGCATCAAGAACAATTATCCATAAAGGATTCAGTCATATGATTATCTTTATAATTTTTGTCCTCAATTGTCGAAGACAATTCCCTATGATGGGATTTTGTCATATGCTTAGCAGCATTTCAATTTCTAAACAAACTAGACTTAGGGTAAAAATATTTCAGAGCTTAGAAATATTTTAAATTATTTTTTGCAAAAAAATAAAAATAAAAAAGTCATGTTATGTATGTTTTTCATTATAATACACAAAATTTGTCATATGCTTAGCAAAATTTCGATTTCTGAACAAACTAGAGTTAGGGTAAAAATATTTTAGTGCCTAGAAATATTTTAAATTAATTTTTGCAAAAAAAAAAGGAGAAAAAAAAAGAGTCATGTTGGGTATGTTTTTACACATTACACAACTTATTATGTTTCTAATACTATATAGCATCAAACACGAGACAACTCATATATTTCATAATGTTTGTGTAGAGTATGGATTGGAAGGATTGGTGTCAAAAAGATCAAATGCTTATAGCTATGGTATTATGTTAATGGAGATATTTACCACAATGAATCAAGTAGTGAAATATTTTATGGGGAATTAAGCCTCAGGAGCTGGATTAGTGATTCTATGCCCAATGGAATTACTCAAATTATAGATTTGAGCTTGTTGGCTCCATAAGAAGAATATTATACAGGAAAGTTGAAATGTTTGTCATCTATAATGGAACTAGCTTTAAATTGCTCCATGTAAAGTTCAAATGAGAGGGTGAATATGAAAGAAGTAGTCGTAACATTGAAGAAGATCAGAGATCAGATCCTGGCATAGTATCCGGAGACAAAAAGGCAACTTTAATGTTCCATAGTTTTAGGTTAAGTGCATAATGCAAATTGTTCTCTCTGTATATGATTGTTCTGTGATACTATTAGTTTGCCATGTTCTTTAGTCTGTCACCTTATAAAACATACAATAAAAGGTATGTTAAAAATATCTTAGTTTGCAAGTTGAATCCTCAATACTTTTGTACTCGAACCACTTTTCATTTTCAATCTAGTTCTGAAATTCAAAGGTTTATTCAAGATGCCTGTATGTACACAACAATGGAAGCACTTTGCTGGTAGATCCTTTGGAATTTCTTCCACACTTAGGCTTTCTTGATGTCTTAATACTTTTTTGATGTTTCTGTAGATTTTCGGCGTTTCAATGAATTTTTATTTTATTTTTTGTTTGAATTACTAAATAAAAATGGAATGGAAATAGAAGCTTGGCAAGTTTTCGAGACCTGCCGCTCTCTCCACTTTTTTTCTCTAGCAACCTGTAAGAATCACTACATTTCTTCCCTCTTTATTCATATTCTGGCTGAAATTGCATTCCAGAAGATTCCAAATTACACCCCTAATTGAAATAACAAAATAAATGGTACAATCCCCAACAATCAGAGCCGTAGATTCTCTATGCATCTAAATAATATGAAAGCCTATCGATACGGCGCCACCAAAATTCACCTTGTACTCAAGGTGATAGTTCGGGGAATTTATGGCTCGTTGATCTTTGAAAACCAGCCATATGATCAAGAGCTAATGTGATCCATAATTTAGCAACAAGAAGGATCAAGAGCACGTTAAAAACCAGCCATACGAGTGAAAATATGTCCATCACTCATGCTGGATAGAATGACAGCACATGCACATACACGCACACGATATGGGAGTTTAGATCCAGTGCGTACGTGTACGCGTGCTAATGCATGCACATGCATGAACCTGAGTAGTTGTCTCATGTACTAGATGACGCTTGACAAATTTTTTATTATTTTGGTAATTTTATTTATTTTAAATAGTCTAGAAGGTTTATTTATTCTGAAAAGTTCAAATGAGAGGGTAAATATGAAAGAAGTTGTTGTAGTATTGAAGAAGATCAGATCTCAGATCCTGTCATATTACCCGGAGACAAAAAGCCAGCCTTAATATTCCAGAGTTTTAGGTTAGGAGTGTAATGCAATGTGTTCTCTATGTATGTGATGATTCTGTTATTCTATTAGTTTGCTATATTCTTTAGTCTAACGTATATTGTGTCGATTACATTAGAAGGCATACAATAAAAGGTGCATTAAAAATTTCTTAGTTTGCAGGTTGAATCCTCAATAATTTTGTAGTCAAACCACTTGTCTTTTTCAATCTAATTCTAAAATGTAATGTACTCATATAGTCAATGTTATACTTCACTCAATTACAGTCAATTCAAGGAATTATATAGTCAATGTTAAAGTCAAATAAGGATTTAAGTTGGAGGAATGATTTCCATGGGGTTTAAATTGAAATTGCTAGTACTTAAGAGGGGCCAAAATGATATAAAAATAAATTTTGGGATTTAGCGTCTAGTATGATAAAAAGATGATTAAATGTTAAATTATATAAAGGTTGGGGACTTGTATTGTAATTATAGTTATGGGGTGAAATTTGAAATACCTTAATATAAAAAAAAGAAAAAGAAAAAGAAAAAGAAAAAGAAAATGGTCAGGTGGTGAATTCAATCCAATTCACACACAAATGAAAAGAAAAACCCATTTCATTCACATATACATAGAGAGAGAAAACGAGGCAGGAAGAGAAATGAGGAAGGAAAAAGAAGAAGAAAAATGGGAGAAGAGGAAGAAAAAAAATAGGAAAGTTCGCCTATGTTATTAGAAAATAAATGGTCTACATTATTTGGCTTGAATTCTTGAATTTTGAAAGTAAGTAAAAAGTTACTTTTTGTCAAGTTATATTTGATTTTATAGTTATTAGATTGTTAGATTAAATTCAATTTTATTAAAGAGGTTAAGTATAATAAGCTATAAAATCAAGTTAAATGAAAGAAAAACTAGTTTTAATGATTAAAGAGACTTTAGAAATCACTTAAATGTGAAATGATTAAGTTTAAGTATTGCCTATTTAATGTTGAAATTACTTAAAATAGTTAATTATTGATTTAAAAATTATATCATATTTTTGGCAGCGATACGGATATCGAGATAGCTTACCAACCAAGTTGATATTTGCGTACATAGTTCTGTGAGTAGAAAAATATAAATATTTTAAAAGTATTTATAAATTAAGTATATTATCAAAGTATGTGCAATTATGTAAATTATTTGCTCGATTATGTGATTACGATGAAAATTTCTTTTAGTATGATCCATAAGGAATTTCAAGGATTATTTATGGTATGTTTGTGATTTGGTATATGAGATATGTGATATCGATATTCGTTTGGTATGTAAGACATGTAATATTGAGATCGGCCAGAAAAGTACTCATGATTATATACTTCTTCTAGTTCACAGAGGTGCTTTGGCCATGTTCTATCCTACACAAAGGGTCTTGACATGACATTGGTCTTGATAGTGTGCATATAGTTCATAGATGGACTTTGGCCGTGTTCCATAATTGATTACCAGAGGTCTTTGAGACCGGCTTTCGTTCACGGAGGGGGCCAAAAGCCCGTGACGAAAGTTCTTAGCCTGATGGACGGATTATAAATTTCAGTCAGATGGTACATTTTTTGTGAATTTTCCAGTACATTTGATGTGATGAGATTATAGCATAATTACCGGCTTATGTTTATATCATGATTTGAGATGATATTTACAAAGTTATGAGAATGTTTTTCTTTTTGTCTATAATTTTATGATATCATGTGAATTACTAAACGATATGAACTTGATGTCTATGTATGAGAAAAATGTTTAAATGAGAAAGTATAATTATTTTCGAACTTTTCCACTCACTGAGCTACAAACTCATATTTTTTTCACGATTTTTCTTACAGGTAGTATTGGTCCCTGATAGCTTGAGGAGTCTGGTGGTTTTAGAATTAGTGCCACTCGACATATTGAGTGATATGATTCATTTTGGTAAAACATGAAGTAATTATTTCAGGCCCATTGCATTATATTTTTCATAAATATTTGATTTTGGCACATATTTTGTAGTAAGTCATAGTCAGCCTTGGTGGTAGATCTGATATCTAGTCAGCGTCTATCATCGGCGCACGTCATGTTCCT